AGGGTGGAGGCCATCGCTACTAGTAGCAAGAAGCTACTAGTAGCAAGGTGCCTCACTACTAGTTGCAAGAAGCTAGTAGGTTGGAGGCCATCGCTACTAGGGTGGAGGCCATCGCTACTAGTAGCAAGGTGCCTCACTACTAGTTGCAAGAAGCTAGTAGGTTGGAGGCCATCGCTACTAGGGTGGAGGCCATCGCTACTAGGAGCAAGAAGCTACTAGTAGCAACTAGTTGCAAGAAGCTAGTAGGTTGGAGGCCATCGCTACTAAGGTGGAGGGTACTAGTAGCTACTAGTAGCAAGGTGCCTCACTACTAGTTGCAACAAGGTTGTTGGCCATCGCTGCTAGGGTGGAGGCCATCGCTACTAGTAGCAAGAAGCTACTAGTAGCAAGGTGCCTCAACTATTTGCAAGAAGCTAGTAGGTTGGAGGCCATCGCTACTAGGGTGGAGGCCATCGCTACTAGTAGCAAGAAGCTACTAGTAGCAAGGTGCCTCACTACTAGTTGCAAGAAGCTAGTAGGTTGGAGGCCATCGCTACTAGGGTGGAGGCCATCGCTACTAGTAGCAAGGTGCCTCACTACTAGTTGCAAGAAGCTAGTAGGTTGGAGGCCATCGCTGCTAGGGTGGAGGCCATCGCTACTAGTAGCAAGAAGCTACTAGTAGCAAGGTGCCTCACTACTAGTAGCAAGAAGCTAGTAGGTTGGAGGCCATCGCTGCTAGGGTGGAGGCCATCGCTACTAGTAGCAAGAAGCTACTAGTAGCAAGGTGCCTCACTACTAGTTGCAAGAAGCTAGTAGGTTGGAGGCCATCGCTACTAGGGTGGAGGCCATCGCTACTAGTAGCAAGGTGCCTCACTACTAGTTGCAAGAAGCTAGTAGGTTGGAGGCCACCGCTACTAGGGTGGAGGCCATCGCTATGCCTCACTACTGGTTGCAAGAAGCTAGTAGGTTGGAGTGGAGGCCATCGCTACTAGTAGAAAGAAGCTACTAGTAGCAAGGTGCCTCACTACTAGTTGCAAGAAGCTAGTAAGTTGGAGGCCATCGCTACTAGGGTGGAGGCCATCGCTACTAGTAGCAAGAAGCTACCAGAGCAAGGTGCCTCACTACTAGCTGCAAGAAGCTAGTAGGTTGGAGGCCATCGCTGCTAGGGTGGAGGCCATCGCTATACTAGTAGCAAGAAGCTACTAGTAGCAAGGTGCCTCACTACTAGTTGCAAGAAGCTAGTAGGTTGGAGGCCATCGCTACTAGGGTGGAGGCCATCGCTACTAGTAGCAAGAAGCTACTAGTAGCAAGGTGCCTCACTACTAGTTGCAAGAAGCTAGTAGGTTGGAGGCCATCGCTGCTAGGTGGAGGCCATCGCTACTAGTAGCAAGAAGCTACTAGTAGCAAGGTGCCTCACTACTAGTTGCAAGAAGCTAGTAGGTTGGAGGCCATCGCTGCTGGGGTGGAGGCCATCGCTACTAGTAGCAAGAAGCTACTAGTAGCAAGGTGCCTCACTACTAGTTGCAAGAAGCTAGTAGGTTGGAGGCCATCGCTGCTAGGGTGGAGGCCATCGCTACTAGTAGCAAGAAGCTATAAGATTTCCTACAAGGACGACATTCCACCTCTCGGGCCAACCGTTGCGATGCAAAGCCCACCCGCGACCGGCGGATGCCGAAGCGAAGAGGTGGGGCCCTTTGGTTCTGGCAGCTTTTATTACTTCTATCCCGTCAAGGCCAGGTAATTCAGATCTCCGTTGCGTTTGTCTTGGTTCGCTGTATTTGGACACGCAACTGATTGACCCAAGAGTAAATGATTATATAGATAGTTTGTGTGGGAGTGGGTAGAGACACGGAAAGATTTGTCAATACTGCAGTCATGCTGCACTTCATGATTTCAATGATTGATTATTAATTTCATGGTCCTTTTTCTTTGGTGTCAAAGCCTGGTGTTTCACATTGCCGCAACATGCAGGCAGTGTCATTTCTGGTTGAGGGTGTTTGGGTGCGCTCGGGGTGCATGGGCCAGCTGCATGGGAGCTCCCTTTCGTCTTCAAGCAGGGAGTTTGGATATTCTCAAGAGCGACATGAGCCAAAAGACCTGTTTGCAAGCTACAAGCTGCCTCATACAAACATGCAAATCAATTATAATTAGGCTTGTTCCAAGTTTGATTCACAGGTGCTATTGCAAAGGTTTGGTCATCAACACCCAGGCTACGCCCCACAACTGTTTTTCCACTGCTGGCGTTTCAGATACCCCGCTCGCAACCAATTCCGCAGGCCCAGTTGGAGGTCTGTGACGTGAATGTCGAGTGATGCGGCCGTGGGGACCCAGCGGGAGAGTGTGAAACTCCTTCAAAGGATGGTTTCTGGAGAACGTGCTGAGTGTGCTGAGGGTCCCAGAAAGCTTCCCCAGATTGACCCAGAGACCTGCGAAAGGGCAAGTTTCAAGGGACCTTTGGGATGCGGAAGCTTAGTTTTGCACATCGTTACATGCATACATGCACATGTTTTTTCTGGATGTATATAGTATAGTTACATGCAGATACTGGCTGTTTACGTACAAGTCAATTCATACTCCTGTGAGTAGCAGACGTAGCAGGAGAAACTCATGGAAGTTGCAAGGTTCAACCTGGCACCAAATGGAGCAGAAGGAAACGTTTGGTGAGGCTCCTAGGAAAAGAGAGTTGAGGCTCAGGCCAGGGTCTGGTCTTCAGGTCAGTCATCCTCAAGTAGATAAAGTGCTTGAACTATATATTATATAAGATATATAATATAGTTGTTTATAATTTGTTTCACTTCCAAAACATGACATTTGACTCTTTCCGCTTGAGATGACTGATACTATAAGCAACAAAGTGCAGGAAGCTACTCTTTCCGCGTGGCAGGGCAGCAACTTTGCGCCGGATCGACTGGAGGTGTTCTTGGCTCCGTTCGAGTGACCAAAGAAGTCGCCGCCACGGGGCAAATGAATTCACGGCTTCCGCGTATGCGGAGTCGACCATTGCTTGCACTTCTAGCGCTGGTTTCGGCCAGTGGACCCGACTGCAAGGCTAGGCCGAGCCCGTCATGCCGCGGCCAACCACCTATGCTTTTGTACCTTGGCTGGCTCCTCCACAGTTCTCCACCCGCCCATCCTGGGGATTGCACCAATTATCAGCATGAGCGCCTCCCTGGTGCACTCACAGCCTTCCCCACCTATCTAGGTGTCCCAAACCACCATGGTCGGGCAGAATCGTTCCGTGCGACACGTCGTACGTTAAGCTCAAACCGTTCGTTCATCAGGGCGTCTCTGGCGAGATCCGTTCTCCACACCATGCCGGCCCCCCGGGGAGGCCTTCGGACCTGGAGGTGGCTGAGTCACATGCAAGGTCCGGTGCTACCAAGGCCGGCAAAGGCGACCAAGACTGAAACAGTTCCCCGTGGTTTTTCGGTACTTTTTGGTTGTTCCTCGTTGATTTGGATCTCAAGACTGGAAAGCGACCGCCAAAGCCAGGGGGTCAGACTGCTAAATTGGCAAAGTTACCTCGCTCTTACCTTTGGTGAAGCCTCACTTAAGCTACCGCTGGGGGTTGCAAGACGTGCAGAATGAGTTGTGTTTCCACACCTGTCTCATATGCAGAGATCAGCCGAGGCAGCTAAGACAAGGTCTCAAGGCCGAGGAAAGCTCTGCAGAGTGTCAGACTACGCTTCCCACTGATCAATGCTATCAGGAGAGCATGTTGTGTCGTTGCGCTTGTGCGTTGGTTGACTCATCAAGTAGTGATAATTGACAATTACACTACAGAAAGTCCAGGACTATCATGACTAAACGAATTGTAGTACCAGGACAGCTGTTTTGAGACCCACCAATCAACTTGGGATTTGGGCTTTCGGATGCTCTATGGTTCAATGTTTGCGCTTCTTCGCATGGAATTGCTGAGGTCATTGTTGAACCAGATATTTAGAGTGAAAGTCTACAAGTTTGCGTCATCCGATCGCCAAAACTGATGTTTGCTGAAGTCTGACAGCAGCCCCAATATTTAGTGATGATTTGCGTGTTCTTCTAAAGAAAACAGAGTGCAGTCTATACACCTCTTTTCCCAACTACAATTACAAACTTAGTCTCCTAAAAAGCCCCAGATCCCGCCCTTTTCGCAAACAATGGACGCGTGAAAATGGAGAACTGGAATCTCCAAGGGAAAAAAGTAAAGACAGTTCTGCACAGACCGTGGGCGAGGGGGTAAGTCCTGTCACCTTTGTGTTTGTTGATTTCCTTGGCAACTCCAACTCTCAGATTCAACAAGTTCGTTTGGAAAGCAAAGCTGCTGTGGCACAGCTTTGTCTCAATTGTTTTGCATGTTTTTCGTTGATGTCATTAGACGTGTCCGGCTTTCCAACTTTTGCAACTTCATCTGTGGAAAGTCACGTTGCTGACCAAAAGTTCGGTGAGGTGACCGTGTGAAATGAAACAAACATGGGAGTGCTGCGCCGATATAGATGAAGTGAAACTGGGGGCCGACTTTCTTGTAGACCGGATGATGGTACTTACATACACAAAGCCAACTGCTGGCAAACAAATATCCTGCAGTGTAGATCTAGCGGCGCGAGTCAATGAATTTCAGGTGTAGTATGTGGCGGGTTACCAGATTTTACGCACATTTCGCCACCGCCCAAACAATCAAAGCACACTTCTACTCTTTTTCCACTTCCTGTCGAGCTCACTTCAGTCGCTTCAGCATGCAGAAGCTATCCGCGGAGGCCAGCACACCGGACCTCTTCCCGCTTGGCTTTCTCAAGCACTGCCTTGGCGGCTGCGCGGGTGTCTTGCTGGCCAAGTCAAGCAAGTGTCTTGGTGTGAAGTCCTCATTTTGAGGAATCCACACCTTCTTTTTTTCTGCGGGTCAAAAAAAGAGATACCCTTTGTAGATCCAAATAGACCGCGTCTGGTGCTCCAAGTGGGTTCAAGTATAGATTAGCAAATAGATCCCTGCAATTATATGCATTTACTATTTCTTGGAGCTTCTGAAACTCTGTTCATGTTTGGGGTGTAATTATTACTATACATTGCGCACCTACATACACTGGGGTGCCAAAAGTTGCGCTTCTTGACTGGTAAAACATCACAAACCCTTTCCCCTTAGAATCCTACGCGCAACATGTCGACACCTCAGTTGCGGTCAGATTTCCACACCCGAAAGCCTTATAAATATTATAAATTTAAACGGGTGTGGGAATCTGACCGCGCTGTACCTGCCACGCAAAATGGACGCGTTAATCCGATCCGCTGTAGACCGCAAGTGTCATGTTGGAACAGAGTAAGAAGCGTAAACTTTAGGGTTCTCGAAGTATGTGCTCAAGGCTTCGTTTTACACACACACACACAACACGGGCTGAACTGCCTGCTTGCGGTTGCCCGATCAAACGAGACGGGCTCGGGTTCGGTACACCACCCGGAATTTGTGCGCTGCCTCTCTGGGAAGCTCCGTAAATTTCAACGTAGTTAATCGAAGATATTTATATACTTATACAATGAATACTATAAGACTATATAAGCAACCCTTGAACGTACTAGGAACATGTTAGGACGCGCAGTCCAGCACAAACGTTGGGCCTCTCTTCTCTGGAAGACCTGCGCGTAATGAGACGGATTTCTTCGACCGGAGGACCAGGATAGCCACCGACGGATCGGGTTGGGTGAGTGGATGCAGCCTCTCACGACAAGCAAGACCCACCGATGGCTTGGTCCAAAGAAAACCCTCCACAAAAAAGATCAAAAACAATCAGGTTACGGAAGCAGGTCACCAAAAATGGATCCCCTATCATGGGCAGTGATTAGGTCTAGGTCACAAGTATGGCCAGGGTCACCCTATCCGAAGGTCGCGGGTGGCACCGGCGCGCCGGGATCAGCAGGTGAGCGATGTATGTTTTAAACGTAAACAGTATTGCATGTCAGGTTGCTATAGTGGCAGCGGGAGGTTACATTTTGAGGTCTACCACCGGCGCGCCGGGACAAGAAGGTGACCTTTAACGACAATTCTTTTCCCCTGGTCGCGGGTGGCACCGGCGCACCGGGATCAGTAGGTGAGCGATGTATGTTTTAAACGTATACAGTATTGCATGTCAGGTTGCTATAGTGGCAGCGGGGGGCTACATTTTCAGGTCTAGCACCGGCGCGCCGGGACACGAAGGTGACCTTCAACGACAATTCTTTTCGCCTGGTCGTGGGTGGCACCGGCGCGCCAGGCTCAGAAGGTGAGCGTATATATGGCGTTGTTTGTGTTTGACCTCGACTACAAAAGACCAAGCAATTCATCTTTTCAGTTCCGCCTTTACTTTAAGTGGCACCGGCGTGCCGGGATCAGCAGGTGAGCGATGTATGTTTTAAACGTATACAATATTGCATGTCAGGTTGCTAGTGGCAGCGGGAGGGTACATTTTGACGTCTAGCGCCGGCGCGCCGGTACAAGAAGGTGACCTGTCTTAGCTAACAACAACTACATCGTCCTGGGGATCCATCTGGGTCCTTTCCGTTTCTGCCCAATCGAGCACGTTTTCGCCTGCTTCTCGTGCTTCTCGTCCTGCCGCTCGGTGCTTGCGGCAGAACCAGGCCACGTGGCCAAATGGTAGTGTCTCACTTGTTTAGACTCGAAAAAGCGACTGACTCCTTACTTAGATTTGTCCTCAGTCCTTAGTTCGGAGTGGGAAGATGGCAGAGGGTACGACGCAAGCCCAAAGCCAAAAGACACGGATGCACCCCAAAGTGTCTTTCAGATGAGATGGCACCTTCTCCGGGTTGCTCAGGGCCGTCACTGCAACCACCACCGCTGCCAAGCACGAAGTCGCCGTCCCATAGGGGCCATCTGATCCAAGGCCATCGCCGTCAGGCGTGCGCACCTGTGCCAGCTGCAGATGCAAATCCTCCTGGCCATTGATCAAGTCTGAAACTGCGTGCAGCAGCGAATCACGATATGGCTGAACGTGTAGCCATTGAGGTAGGTGAGCGCTCAGGCTGGTGACGTGAACCACACCTCTGCGAGGCAAGGTCCTGCCGCGAGACGTTGGAAGTGTAACCGTTGAAGGGTAGCCGTGGGGACAAGCCAGGACCCCTCTCAAATTGCCAAGCGGTTCTCAAGGAACCTGTTTCTATTTCTAGCTGTGGGGAAGCCTTTGAAATTATGTCGCATTCTGGGGCAGCCTGCCTGGCCAGAGACTGCGACACAATTTCAGAAATTGTGTCGCGCAGTTGTCTAAAGGCGCTCAACGATGCATCCCTCCCAGCGCGACCAAAAAAATACTCCACCCACGCGGCCTGTCATCATCAAACATCAAAATGAATCCGCGACACAATTTCTGAAATTGTGTCGCAGCCTGTGGCCAGGCAGGCTGCCCCAGAATGCGACACAATTTCAAAGGCTTCCCCACAGCTAGAAATAGAAACAGGTTCCT